TGCATGTTATTCCATGTAGATTTCCTCGAATTCTCCATTGAAAAAAGTTGTCTTTCACGTCCATTTGGTGTAATTCCAGATCCAAACGTGCAATAATAGCCAAAAGATAAGTGAACTGAGGTAAACCTTCTAACTGGTGAAAATAATTTTTCTCATAATCCATTCCAGCTTCTTGAGTAAAGTCTTTTGCCACAAATCGTGCCTTGTAGTTTATATTGATCCATTCGCTTTGCGTTTAGTTTTTTGAGAACTTATTTGTTCCCGATGGCTCTACGCTCAGGCGAAAGGTCAACTAAATTCCAGACTTGATTGGTTTTCATGCACTCTAATTCTTCTTTCATTGCTTTCATCCACCCATCTTTTCTAGGGCTTGATAAAGCCTTAGTCATAGAATTCGTCTCATTCATTTCTATGGGAGATACCAAGAAAACATAATCTTCAATTTAATAAATACGTCTAGGTACATTTTTCCTTGTACTCTTTCGTAAGTGAAATTCAGATTCATTAGAAGGATTATGGGATTGAGAACTCCCACTCCCACTTGGATTAAAAATAGGATCTTGGTCGATTTGATCAGCAACCGTGTTAGAAGACACTTGTTGACTATTGCTGAGTTCAACATTTCATATAGAGGCTCTTCATTCTTTTTTCGCCCTTCTTTGAAAAATTATTTTCCAAAAAATATGACATCTCGTGATTCAATTTCAGTAACACTTCCATTCTCTAATTCACCCAATGAACACATACCCTTCGAAGTGTTTTGAGTATCTTATAAAGATACATTTCTTACCTTTTTTTGACCCACTTTTCACACTTGCTAAGAGATCTTTTACATATGCAACACAACCCCGTGGTCGTAGATCATTCAAGTTTGATTTATGATTAGTCCAAAGCTTATAAAGAGTGGAAGAAACTGATTTAGAAGCCAGTTCATTCAATATGTAAGATGCAGTCAATAACGCATCTCACCCAAAGGAGATAGGTAAATTTGCTTGTGCATCGTAGACCTTGTCATGTCAAATCACGTTCTATTCCTCCTTTCTGCTACACCATTTTGTTGAGGTGTATAATGAATAGTTAACTATCTTGTTATGCCTTTTTCATTACAATTTTTTTAAATTGTTTTGATAGATATTTATGGCCTCTATCGGTTTTTAAGATCTTAATCCTTTTGTCTAATTGATTCTCAACTTCATTCATTTATCTCTTAAAGCATTCAAGTGCTTCAGATTTATGAGAAATCAACTACACGTAACCTAAGCGCATAAAACTGTCAATGAATGTAATGAAAGACAAAGCACTAGACCTAGCCCTCACTTTTGAATTACAAATATCTGAATTGATGCAACGAAAAATCAGCTATCTTAAGTTTTTCTAATGATTTACATAAAATCTTTCCGACGAGAAAATATTCAGAAGTTGGAATATACAATTTGGAAGGAGCCTAAATATCCCTTATTTTCCCCATCTATTAGTTTGATCTTGCCATTTGTGACCATATCTGGCATGTTATGTGATAAAGGGTGTGTTTGGTATAATGGAAAATATTTTTCGTGGAAAATATTTTCAAGAAAATGCTTTCTTGGAAAACAAGGAGTAATCTTATTCATTTTCGGTGTTTGGTACGCAAATTAAGGAAAATGACTTCTCAAGAGTATTCATAAATAATTTAGATATAATAAACATGAAGCCATAAACTTTCAAACCGACAACCTTCCGAACCCACAAATTTCATAAACTTTCAAACCGCTAAACTTTCAAAACCGTGGAATTTCGAACCCGTAAACTTTATAATTTCTAAACCCGTAAACTTCCAAACTCATAAACCTCCGAACTCATAATTTTGGAACTTGTAAAATTTTGAACCTTTAAATCGATAAATAAAAAAATTAAAACTGAAAAATATATTTAGAAAATACTTTTTTTCGGGGAGGGGGGGGGGGGTCAGTAAAATGAAAAAAAAACAGAAATTTAAATTACAAAAAAAGTAATTTTTTTTTAGTAGCGGGTGGGGTAGGGGGGGGGATGGGTGGTGGGTGGTGCAGAAAACGAAAAACAGAAATTTGAAATTTAAAAAAAAAAACCTAAGGCAAAAAAAAAACTTTAGCGGTATGGGAGGGAGGTGTGGGGGGGGGG